GGGGGGGGGGGGGGGGGCACATGGGAGTGACCCGGCCTTGTGTTTCACACGTGAACTAAAGTATGTGTTGTTTTTGCTGCTGAATGAACTCTGGTCTCCACACAAGGTGGTAAATCCAAACACACACTGAGTTGCTTTAGGCCCACCTTTGGTACACACACAAGTTGTGACAGAGATGCTCACTTTGCTGAAGGAGAGATAGAGGAGGTGTTTGTGTTGCTGACTGGGCCACCCACTCCTTCACTGCAAACAGAGGGAAGCCTCTGTTCTTGGATGGAAAACGCAGCATTATCCTTGTCAAGACAGGTTGTCCACAGTGACTGGATGTGATGACAGATCACCATTATGTTGCCATGCAAAAAGAAACAGTGTTTCTTAAGACTGTGGCTCCTCTCCTCAGAGATGCCTGCAGTAAGAAAAACTGATTATTTTTCTGCTCTTTGAAAGGGCTTAAATTCGGCAGTGTCTTTTTTTCTTTCTACCAAATTATCTGAAAATGTTGTATAATCCAGAGTTTGGGGTTTTACATTGAACTGAACGGGGTAGATGTCCCACCAGCCTTGCTGTTCCCGTCTTCATCCTCTCCTCTTGTTTCCATTTTCAGCCAAGCAGTCCAAAAGGAGGTGAAGAGGGAGCTGTCACCATTGGGGGAAGCACTATCTCCCCAGGAGCATCAGGCTTCCTGTAACCTCATCCCCGCCCCCTCCAGGTTGCGCTCAGGGTCAGGCCAGCAGGGATGGTTCAGGATCAGCTGCTGCAGCCAGAGGAAGAAGAGGAGTGTGTGTGGAACAATGTGCAGGATTGTTGCCCTGCATCCCCCCCACCCACCCACTTTTGGCTTCAACACAGACTCAATTGGTAATATAATACGAAGGCGGACAATAATCATAATCACCAGCCATGCAACCCTGTGAACCCTGAAGCCCTTGAATTTCTAGTTTTTCTTCTCAAGGTGGTGCTTGGAACAAAGCGACAAAAGTGCTGTGTGATAATATACAAGTTGTGTTCTAACTTGGATGTAACTCTCTGATCCAGAGCTGTTTGAAACACAATAGTGCAGGACTTTTTGTTTTCATCCTAGCTCACTGGTTTCTCACTTCTTTTCTTTTCAGTTTTTTGTCTGTAGAAATGGAGAGATTTTCAGAGCCATCTTTCTGTTTAGACCACAATTTAATGTGTTTTAAACCCCTTTGCATTTATATTTGAATCACAAATACAAAATACAGTTATAAGTCTCACCATAATTCTGTAAATCAGTAATCCAGTGACTTTTTCCAAAAACAAAAACAAAAGAACGAAATATGTATCTGCATGAATAAATGACRACACCAGCTGCCCTTACAATGTAAAAATAAAAATAATGCAACATTTTACTTTAAAATTGTATGAAAAGAGACTTTTTGGTTGACACTCCGGAAAATGTGCATATCCCAGTGTGACTTGTCTGATTAATTCTTGTTTTTAAATTATATCAGAGTTTATAAAGTACATTAGTAAAAACAATAGATTGAATATTTGTAAATATCTTAAATTCATTGTTGCTTGCATTGTACATTTGCATTGTTTACTGCTGTGTTGATGTGTATTTATTTATAGTTGTTGATTTTTGTGGTTCTAAATAAATTTGTGTCACATTAACTGCTTACTAGTCTTTGCAGCCTGACCGGACTTCTTTAGTTAATAYTATGCACAACTTAAAAGATTTTCAGCTGTGTTTGACTATATGTTAAATCTCAGCAGGTTGCGAGTACGTTTTTTAAATAACTCACTCATTTAGACACATTTTATTACCAGCTGTTATTGTCATATTGGACCCCAGATAGTAAAACAATAATTTACAATCACTTTGTCGCCATATGCATTTAATTCAAGTCAAAAATACTCTATTGATCCCAAAGGGAAATTAAATGTTGTAGTAACTCGTGTAACTAAAGACTCGTTGTAGGTGGTGACGGCTGTGGGCAGGAAAGATTTAAAGATTATAAATAATCTGATCTCCCTTTTATGGATTTATATAATTGCATTTGTCCTTGAAAGAGACTTAAAGTTCATTTTTATGCTATTAATACTTAATATTTTTAAAATTCAGACTTCACTCATCATTTGATATTTCCTCCACTGTGTTCTTCTTTCCAAACCCCACTCTATATTGATTGTCTTATTGATTTGGTGTCACTTGACATGATACATGCTATTTGTGAATAAGGATCTTGTAAATATTCCAAAGAAGTTGCAGCAGGTCTAACATGACCTTTATATGGCACTTACAGAGATATATAGCTTAACCTTGTGACTCTTCCTCAAAGTGTGACGCAAAAAGGACTTATCCGATGTGATGTCATCACTGACCTCACCTCCGATAACATGCTTGCTTTTGAGGCACAAAATAAGAAACGTAGTTGCTAGTCTGGTAGTACTTGAAACCGGTCTTGGTCTTAAGACTGGTCTCAAGACGAGTTTTTGATGGTCTTGGTCTTGTCTCAGTCTCAACAGCATTTGTACTCGGTCTTGTCTCYGTCTCGGACATTGAGGACTCGGAATTTTATTTCAAGACCAGTCAAGACCACAACTGTGGAAATATCACTAAATAGCTGGATTATTGTCCAATTTATTAGTTAACAATCTTGCTTTCATTTGGTTTAAAAATGTAGCTACTGATTCAAATCCAAACCTGACTCGTTGCTATTTATGTTTTTGTTAAAGGCTGTCACCCATCGGCACCCCCCATCACTTGCATGCTGCACTCCCAGAAAGTGAACCGTGGTTCTCTGGGAGCGGTAAAGGATGTCTTCAAAAATTTAAGTAAAAAATTTGGCTACATTATTCATAAATAATATCATTGTAAAACAACAACAACCAGGAGAAAGCYTACAGCAACTTGTACATTTGGCAATGCTTCACTTTCAGAGACTGTGGGGATGTCAAAATTTATTTTCACTTACGTAAACAATCTGCCTCCGTAGCAAAATTCTTTCCTCTGCCCTCACACAGACATTTAGTCAATATTAGCTCTACATATTAAGTTAGCTAAAGTGGGGAAAAAAGTATTTAGTCAGCTCTTAAAAAGATGAGAGAGGCCTGTGATTGACATCATAGTTAGACCTCAACTACGAGATACTAAATACTTTTCCCCCATTGTACAGTGGGGGAAAAAGTATTTAGTATCTCGTAGTTGAGGTCTAACTATGATTGACATCATAGTTAGACCTCAACTARGAGATACTAAATACTTTTTCCCCCACTGTACATGTGTACAAAATACTCCCATCTTTTAGGGCACTTTTTTTTATCTGGTATCGGTCTCGCCCTCCCTTGGTCTTGGTCTCGATTGGTCCAAACCCTAAAAGTCTTGGTCTTGTCTCAGTCTTGAGACACTGTGGTCTTGGTCTTGACTTGGTCTCGGGTTAGGTGGTCTTGACTACAACACTAGTAGTTGCATCTCAGTGTCCTGCAATTTTGAAGATTGGCTTTGTAGGGGTTTTTGGGTATATTCTAAAATAGGTAATTTGTGACTCACAAATTACCCTACCTCGAGGCACCACATTCCTTAATTCGATCAAGTGTTGACCCAGGAAAGAAATGAAAAACTGTAACTTTGGGGAAACTTTTAGCAAAGCGGATTCTCAGATCAGCTTGTGTTCAGGCTTTTCTCTACCTGGGATGTGAGCATGCAGCTCTTAGAACAGAGTTTACCACTTCTTCGTGGTTAACACATTTCTGTGAACTTCATTATCACTCTTTATGATAATTAGATTTCAGCACAGCAACAAAGGGGTTTTCTCAGCTTCCCTTTTTCATGAGCTCCTTTTTCGTTTTTTTCTGATAAACGGCTGGGTTCCATTAAATTTACCTTCCCTGTCCTTATTTTGGTTTATAAGGACGGTCGTTAGAATATTTAATTAGCTACATTAATTATCCTAACAGCGGTAACTTTCAGAGTGTCAGCGCATGGCTGCTTTAATTTGCCTCTGAGAAGGAGCATCGTACCGAAGTCTATTTTTTCAGCCCAATACGATCTCAAAATGTCGACTTTAATTTTCTTAGCATGCATTAAAAAAAATCAAACAGTTCTCTGTTTTATTTCTCATTTAAAATTTGGCCTTTCTTTAGCAAAAATAGCAACACCAACACACATTCACACTTCAGAGTCAGCGGTGCGTCCACACTGTCTCTAGCTCATGGACATTACCTAGCTTCTAGGTTTGAAATTTGCATATCACTTTAATCAATCAAATGTCCACCATTTGACTGATATCTTTGATACTTTTGATTTCAAACTTCGAAGGTAGATAACTGTACACATGTTTCTGCTTCTTGCTGTTTAAAGCATTGTTCAAACATTTTAAAATTCACAGTTAATTCCTTTTCAATATAACTCTTAGTTAAAATTAGAACTCAATAGATTGTTTTATCTATGTTATTCTAAATTGGAGTAGATAACTGTTTGGAAAGACAGAAGCTGTCAAACAATTTGATTAAATTGAAAACACATTCCTTTGCAAAAGAATGAAACAGAACATGTAGTTTTTAAAATCACCAACATTAACTTTAGAAAATTAATTTGGATAATTTTAAGCTAAGACTAGAGTTGAACAGTTCTAGAAAACAAGAAATTATTTACAAGGTAACATTAAAATACTGACAGTATTTTAAAAGTCATGTGATTACAGAAGGGAGCTGCAATCTAACCTGGTTTGAAGTCGAGCTGTGAAGCTGTTAAGCTCTTGTGACTCACCAGTTTTCATTTTTCTCTCGATGAGGACAGTAGAAGTGGAAACGGCACTTACAGTTAACTAAGCTTTATCGAGGTTCAACAGCGGTGTGACAACGCGCATGCGTGAATGAGGAGGTCGGTTTTGAGGAGGTGCGAGATTCAACAGAACACCGCGAACGGTCAGACTTATCACCAAGACTATCACAAAGAGAAGGGAACATGCAAAGTCCTTTAAAAAAAAAGTCTGAAGTTAGTGGATCTTGATTTCTTCCTTTAAGCAGTCATAGAACCAGTTACACCTAATTCAGAAATTATTAATTAAAGGAGGAAAATACTACAGCTTGCTATTACAATACTGAGGCTTATATGCAGACATACAATGGGGTCTGTCTAAACTATTCTTTTAGTGGGGTGTTCCTGAAAATTTTCTAGACGGCAGCAGCCATGAGGCATCCTAATAAGATTCCTAAAACGTCTCAGCTGACTCACTTTGGTGTAGAGGAGCAAAGGCCCTACTCCAAGCTCCTCTAGAATGACAAAGCTCCTCACCTTATCTTTAAGGCTGAACCCAGCTACTAGTGTTGAGCAATATTGATATAATAATCCCCTGGAGTCCCTGGATGCCTGCATYTCCTACCCTTAGCAAAAAGTAGTACTTGAAGTTCATTTTAGTAAGTATACTTGAGTATAAGTTTAAGTATATCAAATATACTAGGCACCATGTACTTGTAGTATACTTGAAAGTATACTGATTTAATACTTGTTTGTACTAAATTGGGACATTTTAAGTATATACTTTAAGTATTCTGTTATAATGTTAGTATACTTTAAGTACTTGTCATTAAGTATACTAAATATATACAAGTGTATGTCCCTAATGTACAATGATATAAGTATACTAGCAGTTTACTAACAAGTTTACTTCTAGGACTAAGTTGGCCCACAACAAGTTTATGAAAGTATACTCAGAAGTATACTGAAAGTAATCTTCTATGTATACTTTTAGTTTAATCTTAAAATATACTACAAATAAACCAGTCTGTGTGAAAAGTGTACTGCTAAATTTTATCTTGGCCAAAACTTTAAACATTACTAGTATACTTAATTTTTTAGTATACTGTTAGTACAAGCCAAGTATAGTTTAAGATAAACTTGGTTAAGTATATCTCAGATAAGTACATAAAAAGCAAACTGGAATTATACTCTTAGTTTTAAGTTTAAAATTAGTATACTTAAAGGATACTTGTATATACTACTTTTTGCCAAGGGTAGTCACACAACCAATTTAAATCACTCTAGTGGGAAAGAGCATTCCACCTTTTACCAGTTGATAACCATTGGCCTTAGACTTAGAGAGGTTGAATCTCATCCCAACCACTTCACACGAATCACCACAGTGGATACTGAAGTTCATGGCTTGTCATGGCACCAACAGAACCACATCATCAGGAAAAAAAAATAAAAACCTTTTCTCTCCACAGCTGTGCCTTAAGAATGTCACAGCCATGAACGTCACAAACAGGTTCAAAAACCAGGGGCAGATCTGGCAGAGTCCAACCCTCTTGGGAACGAGTTTGAATTTGTGCCAAAAATGTGGACACATCTGCTTTTATCATTTAGGAGCCTTTAAACAGTCCCTGGCACCCCTCACAGAGCATCTCAAGAATCACGATCTTTAAAATACATGTAGATTGGACGATCAAACTCCCATGAGAAAACGTTACTATTGTGACATTAATTAGTCACGGCTTGTCTCGCAATTCACAGATACCCATTAATTAAACACAAATTGACACATTAGCACCTTGAAATGTGTGTTGACTTCATATAACGGATAGATCTGGCAAACTCTAAGTCTCACATGCTGTTCCCCTGACCGAAGCGAGCATTGTGGATACAGCCTGTGAGGCTCAGCACAATGTGAGG